CCGAAAATCGAGTCGCCGAAACTTGTCGCATTTTACCTGAATCTCGTGTTCCTCGATGTCAGCCAAAATGCGTTCCTTCAGCTTCTTCACCTCGTGAGTGGTTAAAGTATCCGCTTTCGCTATTACAGGAACGACATTAACTTTCCGATGTAAACGCCTTAATACCTCGAGGTCAATCTGCCTGAGGCTGTAAAGAAAGATTAATAATATTATTAAGCCTGATATCTTAATAGTGTCGCGGGATGAAGATTATTTTTAACGATGTTCGATGTAAATTAGGAGGGTGTGTATGCTAATTTATCACGCACCCATGACCATACGGTGGTATGAAGTACAGGCAACAGTGTACTCTATTATCTTGAATATTTTTCCTATTTAATCCGCTTTCGTCTGTGAAATACTGGCGAAACTGTTCATCGATGTAAGCCGAGCACGCTTTCCACGTATCTTCGCAATTTACCGCATCGCCAAATCCTTAAACGATATCGTTACTTACAGAATCATTTCATAAAATCGTATCGCTTTATCAAATTACTTTGTGAAAAATCAATGTCGTTACTTATATGGCGCTCCTATGAAATCATTATTTATAAGATTGCTCTCTATAATTAATTCATCCACGTTTGCGGATAGTTTGCGGATAGTAAACTTTACGTGAAAAAGTAGAAAATAAATAACTCGGCGAAATCTCTCACCTGGCGTGTCTACGATCGTTAAGCGCAGCCGTACGCCACGCTCCTCTATATCCATTGTCTTTTTCTCGATAGAGGTGGTCTTAGCCACTCGCTCTGAAAGTGAACGATGAATATTTATCAGCTCCTCGAGATCGGTTTACCAACGATGTAAGCTGATCAAATATTTTTCACGTGTCAATAACTCGCGGGGAGCGTGCGGTGGATTTTAGAACAGCGACCATCCGAGTAGCGTCCACTCCCCCGCCGCCACCCTCCCCCCCGCGATGAAATAATGTCATGCCGGCTATTTCGATTGGCCATGGATAATTTCGGTTGAGGAAGGAGTTTTTTAACGGGTTTAACGGGTGGATGTCCAGTTCTCTAGAGGACCTCGCGTTACAGGGGTTTACAGGGGCTTGGGGGTTGAACAGATCGAATATAAAAATTATCACGCACCCGCCGCATCTGGAATTCGCCGGTCTTTGTACAGATCCCCGAGGAAGAGGCTGTTTATGAGCGTCGACTTGCCGAGACCGGTCTCACCCAGTACCATCAGGGTGAACTCGAAGCCCCTCTTCACCGATTTTCGGTGCACTTGCTCCGGCAGCGTCGCGAAGCCGATATAATCCCTGTCTTACTGAGCGAAACAAAACGGTCATTAACATCGCGACAACAATGTCTAAGATAAATCTCTTAACAGAAACTGGTGCTAAATTAACAAACGCGCGCGACACGTTTTTTTTTCTTCTTTTCTTTTTTAATACAAAACGCGTGTAACGTGAAATTACTCGCGCGTGGCGATTGCGCGTTTCGCCCGATGGCTGACTCACCATTAATATAAACGACATGTACGATCGGCGTCAATGAATATCGCGTCTCTGCATAATTTACATCACGAGACGAGGGCGAGCCGGCTTCTGCTCCCTCCCTCGGCTCGGAGAGGAAAGACGTTTGTCGCGACGGACGATATCGAACGCGAGCGATTAATCACCATGTTAATGAAATGTTTTTACGTACCACCGGACATAATGGCAGCATCTAAGGACACCTCGGTGCGACGACGGGCATAACGACACGGGTAGCCAAATGTCGGGCAAACGCACTACGGCCGAGGGCGGCTGACGCTCATGAATGCCTCTTTGCGTCCGGCCTCGACTTGCGCTGGCGCACTGCCGGCCGGCCGATCAATGTCGGTCGTGCCTCCGATGATGTATTCCGGGCTGCACGCCGTGAAGAGGTTAAGCCCGAGAGAGCCGGGCGTGCGTGCGGAATAAATAGCAACGTTATCAGCGTCCGCCGTCTACACGACTAACGGTTGTGCGGACGGAAGAGCGGAAATGATTGTCCGGCATCGGCCGTTAAGCCCGGCTCGACGACGCGATGCTGCGACTGGGCGGCCTGGCATCCGATTCGCGTTGCATCGCAATCACGCAAGTGGCACGATACGAGGTGCGTCACGGGGGTTCCTTATCATCGCAGCGTGCGCCCCGATCGAATTAAGTTCCTCGAAGAGATATTAACGAGATTGCTGTATCAATATATATCGCCGCGATTCCTTGCGATTCAATTAACGTTAGCGCTCCAACGAGCGCAAATAATTTATTTATATTCACGTGCACGACGAATAAATTAAATAATCCGGCGCGCTAACGTTTAGCGTAATTTCAACGCTCCGAGCGAGAACATGATGAATTTTCGGATTTACCGGATTTGCCAACAATCGCCCGTAATCATTCGTAATAGTCTGTAAAAGCGCTTGATGACATGATGTTTATTTACATTTCCGTCATTCTATTTGATCTATCTAGAATTTCGATTAATTAATTATTATTAATTATTTGCCGCGCGACGATTAGTTTTCATTAGTTTTCTGCGATAAAATTTCGTAGCGTTTAACCCGTTTTCGATACAAGGATCATTGTCGATGTAAAAATTAAGCATTCTGTGATACAAAATTAATTTATTGTAAAATATGTTGTAAAATAACAATCCGTCATATAAAAGAGGTATAATCGAGATTTGATCGTGTAAATAGATCGAAAGAGACTCTTCGTTTTCATCAGTCGGTCTTATTTTTGATAAATGTCATTACGTCATTAACGTCATCCTTGGAGCCTAGGAAAATAGGTGATCTCTGATGGATGTTTTCCGGAACGATGTCCAGAATACCAATTTTTCCATTTGTCGCCAGACCTCCCGCTTCCTTCACTATAAAAGCCATCGGAACGCACTCGTATAAAAGCCGCAGCTGGAATTACGAAATTATAGAATCGGCATATCAGTTGCATAATTTATTATCACGTTGACTCGACTTGTTGCGAAATTTCCATGCGTTAATATATGCGAGATATAAGGCGTATAAACGGAAAGTATTTAAAATACATTTATATTTGTGTATGCATATGTACGACGCGCGATAAATTTGAAGTCTCAGTTAATTATCGGTAAATATGTTCTCTTGAAATTCTCGACCTCGATATCGGGGCCTCTGATAGAGAGCCCCCGAATCGCGTGTTTACCGAAATGAATAATGTGCAAAGTTCGATA